GGTCTGTAAAAATTGATAGGAAAGTTGTGTTGGAGAATATGAATACTAGGGTGGGCAATGAATGTGGGGGAGTTGGCATATTTTCTCTAAAATACACCCTTTAAGCATAGATACATATACAGCTATACACAGAGGCAATGAGAAGGGGACAAAATGGAGGGAAAAAACTGAATATGTTATACATGTGTAAACAGAAGACATAAATACAGTATACTGAAATGCAAAAGATGTAAGGTAGTGAGAGAAATGTTTATGAAATCATATCATTATGTACTGCTGTGCAAAATTTGGGGAAGTGGGAGGTTGACTCTCTGACCAGAGAAAGAGTGATACAAAGTATCAAATGTATGGAACTTAGAGACAGTAAAAGATAGTTCAAAACTTTAAGAAAGGAGGGCTCGAGGAGTAGAACAACTCCCGAAACCCTCTCCAGGTAGCCAAAATATTAGATTTTGTAAGAGAAAATGACTTGAGAATACAAAATGGTATACATTAGTGATATAACAGTGAAAGCTGTAGAAGATGTGTGTGGTTATAAGTTGGTGATAAAGGAAGATAAGAGAGGTGCTGCTGTATAGTTCATTATAAATGTCAGAGACTATATAAAAAAAATAAAAGATGGAAAATATTGCTGTTGATTGATGTGTACAAGGATGGGAGATAGAAGAAATGTACAATATGATCATTGTGAAAGATTATATAGACATGGTTAGGGATGACAAACTTATGTGGTGACTTTGTAAGAACTAATATATAATTGTATATCAAAGTTGAAAATAGTCACGGTAGTGGAGAGGAAGAGGTAAGTAGAGTGAAGGATGTGGGGGACTGCGTTGACGGACGTGCAGGATGCTATCAATAGGTGGAGTGAACATTTTGTCTTATGGCTATAAATGGTTGAAAAAGGTGATAATATTTTATAAAGTAATTTGTATGATAATTTCTAATATTTAAGTTTGTTTTAAATTTTATATGCACTGCAGTAGTATAGTTTAGATTAGGTTGACACAACCTAGATGTGTGTCAACACGCTGGCACGATGGTGGTGCATACAAACAATCCTCATAAATAAAAATATATGATTGTTATAGCAAATAAATTGTACTGAGCACAAACATGTTCAGACAATTGAGAATGTCACTGCGGAGAGGTTCGTTCGAGCGAGGTCCCATTGAATATTTGTATGTATAGATCAGCTGCAGAAATAAAGGCAAGAGCGTGTGGAGTGGGAGTGGAAGTAGACTTGAGATAGGCATAAATTGTTGTTACTGATATAGTATCTGTAAGAAGATAATGCGTAAGTGAGGAGGAATTGCCAAAAAAATTGTTTGCAAGAGAATTAAAATTGAAGGTTATTGTTTTAAAAAGTAAAATTCTGGCATTTAAGAGAAGGGAATGGGATGTTGTGGATTCTGTAGATCCTTGTCGAGTAGTTAGATTGTATGATTTGAACTGTGTGTTTTCTACCTCTTCCACATGATCTCAATTATTTTGCTCGTTAAATGATTCTCTGGTACAGTATTCTATTAATGTGTCGAATCCACCTTAGTGTATTATGCGTCTCCCACTTCATGTTTCATTCTCTCCATTTTTACTCATACCTGATACTTCCATACCAAATACTTCCTCATTGCTATACCCTTCCTGCATACTTACAGCAATTGCTTCAAGTTTTACTTCAATATGTCAAGACTTGGATGAGTATACTGTACTGTACTTGCATACTTAGTTTCATGTGATTACACCAGTCACCTCTCCTACCACTCTTCCCACACCCATTACTCTCTTATTTCACCTTCCATACTCCCAGTTTTATCAAACACTCCCCAAAAATATTTAAAACTTACTATCTCTTCTAAAATCTCATAACAGTGCCATACTACTCTCTAAGGACATGCAAAATCTATGACATCTTATCCCTTCTCAAAAACACCATAGTCTAACCTTCAGAGTAAGACTCGCATGGTAGCTCTCCTATGCCTCAGTATGAGGCCTTCATGTTGGGTTCTGAGTGACCTTATGTCCCAGAAGGACAAGCACCTTTCAAATTGTCTTCTTCCCTTACCAAAAGGGGCAGGGTACCAAGTGAAGAAGATACTTCAATCCATCCACAGGTAACTACTTGATATAAAAATAAAAACTCAAAATCTTAAACTCTATCTAAATGATCCTTGACAACTAAAACAAATTTAAAATAGCATTTTGAAACCTAGTTACAGACTGCCGCTAAATGACAGCACTACTGTGTGAGGAGAGTGCAAACTGTCACTTCACTGTTTCACAACTTCTTTGGTAAACTGTATTCTGCAATGCCAGAATACTCAGATAAGTTTAAAATGTTGTTTCTTGAGACTTAATCTCACACAGGTGGTACCTGCTCGTCTCTCGGTTGGGGCTTTGTGACCAGCGCTCACCAGGCTGGCAAGGGGCGTTGGGTACCATCCTTCCTTTGAGCTCACAGCACGGTGTGGGAGTTTGCGGCTGTGTGGCAGGCGCTGCGACAGATCTGGCTCCATTTGGACTGCTTCCCCATGGTTCAGTTTCTCTTTGGTTCGTGGCCTTGGGGCTGGTCACTTCAGGTAGCTCTCAGCGGCATTCACATTCAGGTTGTGTCCATCATCCTGGCAGACAGCCTGTTGCGCTTCATTCCTCTTTCTACGGAGTGGATGGTCGACACTGCTTCCTTTCTTTGGCTTTGTCAGATGTACGGGTGTCTGGTGGTGGATCTCTTTCCATCGGCGTAGTCTCGGCATCTCCCATTGTACGTGGTGTCGTTCCCTGACTGCAAGGCCCTTGCGTAAACGTTTTTCGGGTGGACTGGTTGAGGGTGGGGGGTTCCTGTACCTCTTCCCTTTGGTCCAGCTGTTGGTCTGGGTTCTGGTTCGGCTGAATTCTTATTGGGAGTGAGTAGTTCTCCTGGTTCCATGGCCGGCCCAACCTTGGTTTTAGGCGCTGCTTGCTTGGTGTCCGAACTCTGACGTTTTTCCATGGCTCCACCTCCTTCAACAGGTAGGGCCAGTGAGGTTCCTTGCTGGTTTGCCTTACTGCTCTGCACTATGCATCTGGTCTTTCTGATGCATGTGTATCGCCATTTGTATGGTGATCTGGTGGCTTCTTTGTTGGTGTCCCACCTGCGGTCTTCTCAGCAACAGTATGAAGTTTCTTGGAGGTCTGTCATTTTCTTTATCTTCGTCGGTTTTCGTTGATTTCGGACCAGGTTTTGTCGTTTCTCTTGCTTGGCTTTTTCTGGATTGGCATCTCTTGCCTATTACTGTCGCTTTGTATTGCGCAACGTTGGAGGAGCTGCTGCTGCTTGCGTTCAGGGTGGATGTTACTTCCGTTCAATTCCACTAGCTTTCTCGTGCTTTTTTTCACCTCCAGCCTGCTCATGCACCACCTGAGCCTTCTTGGTATTTGGACAGAGTTCTTTCTTTTTATTCTTCTTGCTTTGTTGTGGCCCCTTTGATTCAGGATTGCTTTTGGAGAGCCTTGTTTTTGTTGGCCTCTGGGGGTTGGGTTGGGGAGCTTCATGCTCTCTTCCGACGCTGGGAGTTCTGTTCATTTTGTCCAGGTGGACGTTTTGTTTGTTTGAGGCCTCCTTCTTTTCTGGTGAAGAATGAGATGGCTGGCTTCTGTAGGAGTCCATTGGTTGTGCATGCTTGGTTGGTGAGGCTGGGGGTGTGTCACGAGTTGTCTGGTATTGGATTTCCGCCGCTACTAACGGGCCTCTTGTTCCATGACGGTGGATGCTCTTTGGGTGGATCTGGTTTCCTTGGATTTTTGTTTCAGGGCTCGTGTGTCTTAGGTTGTCCGCAGTGTCATCAAGTCTAGCCAGCCTGTGGTCTACCCTCGTGCCCATGATGTTTAGAAGTATGCTGCTCTTGCGGCGGTTTTTGGTAAAATGTCTTGGGTCAACATTTGGGGACGGGGGTTTTGGAGGTTGAACAGGGTCCTGGTCGTCAGGTATCTAGTGAATGTTTTGGTTCCTACCCGCCCGTGTGTGGCTTTGGTGCACCTGTCGTGGCCGTCTGTCTCTTCGTCTCGAGACCTGCTGTGCTGCCATCTAACGGGTAAGTCCCTCCTTTTACTTATCTTTGGGTAGTTAGCTTCAGGGGAGTCGACAGGGCTCCACATAGAAAACCACCGTTGAATGTTATGAAACGCCATTTTTTGGATGAACCCTGGAGGCTCCCTGACACCCTCTCTCTTTCCCTCTGGTTGGCGGTTTTTCATTGTTCTAGAACTGAAGTGGTGGGCTGCCAGCTCCAGTGAGCCATCTCCCCTCCCTCCCTTGGGTCGGGGGGAAGGGGGGGGGGGTTGCAATGCTGATGAGTGGAAGTGCTGGTCACATGAAGGGTTACTTGTTTGGTTTCTTTGTAGGAGAGTTATTTTGATTGATTTGGATGTAGATTGCACAGGTTAACCAGACAGTGGTCTGTGTTGTTTCACCTACCTTTCTGGGTCCTTCCCTGGGCGATGGCAATTATGACATACTTTAAATGTAAGGTGCTCATAGGCCATTGCTCCCTGCGCCACTCTGAGGGGATCACGTTCTGGCTCATGGTTCTCGGTAGGACTAAGAACTGTGACTGATGACCCCAAACTAATATAGCACATATCAGTTCGCATAACTTCAGGGAGCCTCCAGGGCTCACCCAGAAAATGGGGTTTCATTACTTTCAATGCTGGTTTTTCCTTTGTACTTTTTAACCTTTCGCAAAGATTTGTGATAAGTCCAGTTGTGTGCTTTTTCAATTCTATCTCCCCTTTGCTAGAAGGTTTTCAGTGAGGATTCTCACTGTAAAAACTGGATCAATATTGCCCCTCCTCTCCCTTATCTTGTATTCTGTTTCTGTCTTTGCTCTCTCAACTTGCACACATGTACAGAATAATATCTTGAAATATTTTATGCAATTGCATTTTTAATTTGTAACTGAAAATGTGCTATTTATTTGTGAAATGTAACTTATGCTACATATTAAAATTTGTGTGGTCAACAGAGCGTGGAACAAGTCGTGAACGCATGGAGGAGTTTGAGGAAGCTGTGATTGCTCTTGAGTGTTACATGGCCTCAGTGCAGAAGGAGGTTGAAGAAAGGACACAGCTTGTCACGTTGCTGGAACAAGCAGAAATTTTCTACGAAACACAGCGTGGTGAAGCTAAAATGGTAGCCAATGTAAGTAAAAGTTTTCTGCTGTTGATGGCCAAAGACTAGAAGTAAAATTGGAGAGCTCAGATTGGCATTGTCGTTATTAATGAGCAACTCAAATTAGTAAATGTACTCCCGCCATGTCCAAAAGATGTCCATCCATCCAGTTCCCCCCACCATCCATCCATCCATCCAGTTCCCCCCACCATCCATCCATCCATCCATCCATCCATCCAGTTCCCCCCACCATCCATCCATCCATCCAGTCCCCTCACTGTACATCTAGTTACTCCACCATCCATCTTGTTGTCCTCCCAAATACAATATTCAAACAGGATCGTCACTAGGTGGGAGACATCGGTAAACTGAAGTGTGCCTAACCCGTACCACCAGGAACCATGTGCTCGGTCGACCCATATGTGTACTGTATCATCAGACTCACCAAGCAAGGCAAAGCTTGTAAACAAGTTAAATTTTTTAAAAGATTGAGCTCATAAACCGAAAAATTTGTTAAGAGGGGCATTTGTAAACCAAGATTCCACTGTACATGGAAGATACTTGAAGGCCAGGTACCAAATTTGCACAGTAGAATAACAACCTACTGGAGCAAAAGATACAGAAGGAAATGCAGAATAGAACCAGTGAAGATTAGAGGTGCCATAGGCACAATCAGAGAACACTGAACATCAGAGGTCCACAGCTGTTCAACACCCTCCCAGCAAGTATTAGAAATATTGCTGTAAGAAAGATGGATGTACAGGTATTCAAGAGGCAATTAGATAAGTTCTTGCAAGAAGTGCCGGACCAACCAGGCTGTAGTGGATATGTGGGCCTGCGGGCAGCTTCAAGCAACATCCTGTTGGACCAAATTATCACAAGTCAAGCCTGGCCTCAGGCCGGGCTCGGGAGTAGAAGAATTCCCAGAACCCTCTCCAGGTATGCTCCAGGCAATTGCCGTCCCTTTATGATATACTGTAGTTAAATACAGGTCTTGTCTCCTACCCATTTTCATTACTTTGCACTTATTTGGATTGAATTCCAGCCAACCTACCCAATTCCTGCAGTTGTTAAGGTCTCCTTGCAGCACCCAACAGTCCTCTTTAGTTCTTACTCTCCTCATTAATTTTACGTCATCTGCAAATATTGACATGTACAAGCTCGCGCCCTCTAGTGTTTGTAGTAGTCAGAAGTAGTGATGTAGTGGGCCATTTAGGAATAGCCAGAGTTTAGGTTGGTGGTCCTTGTTATACCATCTAGTGCTTGGAAAGATTTTGAATTTTATGTAAATGCTCTTTCTGGCTTTGTTTTATGCTGGATTGAATGATCTCCAAAGTTTCCCTAACACCAGTACGACCCAACGGGAACAATATAAAAAGTTGCCCACCTTATCGGTGTAGAATATATCAATCAGCACTGATTGAATGTGATCCTAACCAGAAGTCAATTAGGACTGTGCCTTTTGGAACAACTTTCCAAGAGTATACTTCTTGGAAAAATGCTTTCGTATGCATATACTCATAAACCTGTACTTTGTTTTTATAATTTGTTTTAATATTTCTTTAGAGTGACACTTGTATTATGTTTTTAAAATATAAATGTGTATTTACAGGCATACAAAAACTTTGGAAATAGAGTGAAGACTTTAAAGACTAAGTTAACAGAAAAAATGAAGACTCTTCCAGAGCCCAGCCCAGTTCCCTCTCCAACAATTGATGCTCCATCTCCAGAGAACAGTGATGATGAGGATCTGTCCCTGCCAGAATCAAGCACCTCAGGTGGGGAACAGTTTTGTGTAGGAGTTATAACTTTCTGGAGTAATAAGTTAGACTATGGTAGCCAAACATAGATGATTACAAATGTAGCATGTCAAGGCAGTTATCACACTCATAAATACCATAAAGCTGATAAGTAATACTTCTTATAAAAAATTGGACAAAAAATGCCTAGATATGTTATATGTCTGTAATGCTGTAGGTTTCAACAAAATTTTAAATGAGTAATGTCTACATAACAGATTTGTGAGGAAAAGAAAGGTGCTATATTACAAAAGAATGTGGAGTAGGGTTGTTGCCACAACAGGGTCAGAGTAGCCAGCTACAGTTGACAATTTACAAGAGCAAGAAGGTTGTCAACTTGCTCATGAAAAACTCTTCCCAACACAAACCAAAAGGCCTTTAGAAAGACAAGTGTCATCTATGTCTTTACATTCTCACTTAGGGACTGTCAGCTGCAATGATCTTAATATATTGGAAAGACACCATCTTCCTTCAAGATGTTTGATAATGCACAAACAACAAGGCCCCATCAGATATCACAATTATATATACACAACCAAACCATCACCAGAGATAACCTGATCAACAATATTTAAATAATCTACAGATACAACAGCAATAGAGGATAGATATAGGCAAAGCACTTTATACCAAACATGCTTATTTAAATATCAACAGCCAGCTTACACTTAGGTACATCCTACCATCCTCAAGACCAAAAGGCTTGAAATACAAGTTCCCGACCACTCCGTGATAAAATGAAATAAAATATATCTGGTGGCATGACCTCTCGGTTGTCGTTGATTTATTATATAGGTAATCTTTTCTGTGTTGTTTAACTACCCTAAGCTTAGAATTTTTTTTCTTCTCCAGGTTTGGATTCATTTTTCAATTCATCCAAGTTTGCTGAACTTGCCAAAGAAGCTCTTGTGGGTGTGAGTGGGGGTCTGGAGAGTCGCTTAGCTGCTCTCAGAAAAGGAGAACTGTCTCCTCAAAAATCTCCAAAAACTTCCTCTTCCCGTGAGATTAAAGATGCCTATTCACCGAAACATGATACTTCGACCAAAGATGATATTGAAGTCTGGGAGATCGTAGATTCCCGAGATGGGTATGAAGCACGCGAGACCTGGGAGTCACAGGATAATGGAGAAGATAGAGACATGCGGGACTCAAGAAGTGCTAGAGATGCTGATGAGAGAAGGGAACCACAAGAGATAAGAGATGTTCGAGATTCCTGGGAACGAGAAGTTGGAGACCGAAGGGATTATTCATCAGTGAGGGAACATAGAAATTCAAGAAGCTCTAGGGATTCCAGAGACTCTCGTGATGGCATCTCAGAATCTCGGGAGATATACAGGAGCAGTAGCAGGGACCGGGCACCATCTGATCGTGATTATGCCCATAAGTCTAGAGATCGGGAGTATTCTCATACTCCTACTAGCTCTTATGACTCTCCAATTCAACCTCCAAAGGTATTCGTATATTAATATATTTTGCTATAATGTTTAAGTTCTTTCTTCTATGGAGAGAGAAGGGAAGTCTGTATGGAATAAAGGTAATGGAGAAGTACTAGAAGCTGTTGATAGGTGAAAATACCCGAGATGTGTGATTGACAAGGGATATGTTAAATTGAAAGTGAGATTAGTTAGGTAAGGAAAGTGGTGGTGCAGTGAAAGCTGTAGTGAGAGAGATGATAAGGATGCAGCTAGATGACTGCAGGAAGGAGTGACTGTTTCATCTGTAGTGGAGTGTAATGTTGACATAATATAAGCACTACAAAACTTATAATGATAAAGTAGCACTGATAAGGATTATCAATGGCATAAGGAGAATGGATAGATGTCACAAGAATGATAACTGCATTTTGAGGATCAAGTAACTTCTTTTTGTAAGAGATTTGCATAATATTTCATCTGGAAATAGAGCATTTCTGAGCTATCGCATTCCATTGTTCTTTAAGGTAAGAATTTGCTGTGTCATAGAAAAGATTCATGAGCAGTCAGGCAGGACAGGGTCATATAAGGTGCTAGGGAGGAACATGAGGGAAGCTCAGTCTGACCAAAAATATCTGTACTGTTATAAAATTCAGATCCCAACTGGATCCTTCTTGATATTACAAGTGACTGGCAAGTGAAGCATCAAACCACCTCATCACCTGCCTGGCCAATCGGCTCCATTGATAGATAGCCGCACCATTGTTACTCAGGATCGCCAAACCTACATCACGTCACGTTTTTCATGTCTTTGAGCAGTCTACTAAATTATACGACTTGTTTTCAACCGTTGAAACATTGTTTCTTCGTCTAGCAGCCTATGATATCTATGTATATGTTTGCCTTGTGTGTATTTGCTAAAGGAGTCCCTGTGTCTTCCTTGATTCCGTAGCCTCTGCTTTTTTGGTCAGTGCCGGTGGTGTACAGCTGTGGTTACACAGTTTATACCACTTCATGCACAGTACTCTAGGCACTGTTCTTGAAACATAGGTAACGGGTTATCTTGAGATGATTTCGTGGTTTAGCGTCCCCGCGGCCTGCTCCTCGACCAGGCCTCCTCTTTGTTACACACCCCCAGGAAGCAACCCGTAGCAGCTGTCTAACTTCCAGGTACCTATTTACTGCTAGGTAACAGGGACATCAGGGTGAAAGAAACATTTTGCCCATTTGTCTCCGCCTCCACCGGGATCAAACCCGGAACCTCAGAACTACAAATCCGAAGCACTGCCCACTCGGCTATCAGGCGCCCTAATGTCCTGACAAAGACATTGCCATCCTAGGTAGCAAATGCACATGATAGGACAATTAATATACAAACCCAGGGTTGAAACAGCCAAATTTGTAGCAGCTGCAGCCATAGTACTTGAGGACAAACCCCAGGCCACACTCCTGTTGGCCATCCCTTCTTGTTTCCTGCTGGCCACATTATTTGAAGGTTCACTGCTCATTCCCATGTGGGAGGCTGCTAATGAAAAGCTGCCAAGCTCAGGGCATTTTTGTTTTACATTTTGGTACTGACCGTCTTAGTTCCTGGTTTTGCAGACTCTTGAGCAAGCTCCTCTTTATGTTCAGGCTGCAGAATGGTCAGGCCATGACTAAGGGATTGTCCTAGAGTTGCTACAGCTTCTGGTGGCTTTGCTTTATTTACTTTAACTTGAGGTTCATTGGCTAAGTATCTTATATATGTGTTAGCAGGGATGGAAATGGAGGCTGGTTTGCTCTCTCTCTCTGTTGTCCCTTATGAGTGTGTAGAAACCATTTCTTCATTGTTAGGGGCCTTTGGCTGCTTCTCCAAGCTTGGACTTGCAGTTCCTGAGGTTCCCTCTTTCTCCTCCCAAGCTGAAGATGTTTTATTTTTATTTTCAGATTTCATTATTATTTTCCACTTTAGAAATTTCCAGTGTGCATTTTAAATTTTATGCATCAGGGGGCCAGACTCACGAAGCAGTTACGCAAGTACTTATGAATGTGTACATCTTTCCTTAATCTTTGACGGCTTTGGTTATATTTATTAATGGTTACATTTATTAAACAGTTTACAAGCATGAAAACTTTCCAATCAACTGTTGTTATTGTTACAAACAGCCTCCTGGTGCTTCGGAGCTCATTAACTGTTTAATAATTGTAAACAAAGCCACCAAAGATTGAGAAAAGATCTACGGGTTCGTAAGTGCTTCCTAAACTGCTTTCTGAATCTGGCCCCAGAGCTTTAGGTAAAATCCCTTTAAATGTGTTGTAATTTTCATCTGTGGTGTAATCTATGTCAGGTCACCTGTTGGAGTCAAATCATCTTGTGATGTTCTTGGTCTCAACCGTTCTCTCCTGTGGGACAATTTCATATTTGTCAGTAAGAATTAAACATAATTTGGGTTTGTGAAGTCCTGGGTAGGCATTGATGCTGCTTGTCAGTTGGTGAGAGACAATTTGCCAGTTTGAAGCGTCACTTGGTTGATACTATGTGAAGATTTGGAAAGAGTTTGAGTCTTTATGAAGGTACAGTACCTCTGATGAATATTCTGGACTGGATTACGTTTTCTTTATTTCTTCCTTAGCATTTTATTTGTCGTCCTGCCTAACTGTTCAAGAATCTTTTTTATGATGGTAAATTCTTACCTCAGGGAACATCCAAATTCTGGTTGAGAAAGAAGTGTTGCATCTTGTGTCAAAGCCTGATTTTCACCATACAGTATATTAACAGTATGATTATTTTCAGGATTTGAAGCCCATGAGTGCTGCTGAACTTCTTGATACGTTTGGCAAGGCTTACCTTAGCAAGTCCAGTGGAGGAAGTGGGAGTACCAGCAGTAGTGTTACATCACCAGTAGCTCCTGCTTATGAGACTTCTAAGCCTCCCACCACACCCACTCCCAATCCTTCAATTCCAGATCTCTCTCGACCACCTCCTAGTCTTTCCATACCCTTACCCCCAAGTAATCCACCTACTACTGAATCACCTTCTCCCTATACCCCAATGCCTGTCAGTGCTCCTGCATCATATACCCCAAAACCACTTTACCCTCAGTCTTACCCACTTTCATCTGAGGCATCTTCTAAGCCAGTATACCCACCTACTCCTGTTGAACCACCTCCGCCATATCCACCTTATGAAAATCCAACTCCATGGGCTCCTCCGCCACCACCACCCCCACCACCTCCAGAAATAGTAAATGATGGAGTTGGGGGACCAGCATCAGAGTATGATATTTTATCAAGGAGTTTCAGCCAAAGTTGGTCTGATTATGAACAGTATAGTAACCCAGGGGATGTAAACGATGAAGAGTCAGATGACCGAAATTGGGGTGAACCTCCAGGCAATGAAGAGTTAGAAGCACTAACATCAGATACACCATCATCCCCTCCAGCTTTTGAGAAAGGATTTTCTGGGGTTTTGCTTCCCCCTCCTCTGCCCCCAGCTTTTTGTGGACCAGCTCGAAGCAATTTACGTGAATTAGTATCAGAAGGAGAGGATAGTGATCACAGAACAAATCTAGTGAGTATCAAGCCAAAAGGAACAGATAGTGATTATCGTTGTTATGATTACAGCTTTCTCTCTGACCATTCAACACAGTCAAAGGAAACGCAACCACTTTCTATTCAATCCTTGTTTGCAAGCGGTGATGATTTAGACTTAAGAGTGAAAAAATCCGGAGTAAAACAGATTAACATAGACTCAGGGTCAGACATGGATATCAGTGCTTCAGATACTGAGGATGACATGGATATTAGTGATGAATCTGGGAAAGAAGGAAATAGTAATAAAAAAGGAAGTGAAACAAAACATTTAAAGAAAAATCAGACAAAAGATAGTAAAATGGATTCTCATAAAAAGATAAATGGTAATCAGAAATCTAAAACTGAAAGTCCCATCATATCCACTGTTGCTAAAATCACCAAGAGAGTTCCAGCTACTACTACAGCTTCTGCGACTAAGACAACTACTACTACTGCTGCTGCTGTTACTACTTCTACTACTACTGCTGTTTCTGCTGTTACTACTGCTGCAACTTCTGCTTCTACTGCTACTGCTATTACTACTACTACTACTGCTACCACCACTACTGCTGCTGCTACTTCTACTACTACTGCTGCATCTATTACTGCTTCTTCAACTACTACTACTACTACTGCTGCTGCTGCTGCTTCTACTACTACTACTACTGCTTCTACTACTACTACTGCTACTACTACTACTGCTTCTACTACTGCTTCTACTACTACTGCTTCTACTACTACTACTACTACTATTGCTCCTGTCACTTCTACAAATTCAGCCATTACTGTAAAAGAAGTAAAGAAAGCTTCTGGCACTAAAGCTAGTGAGACTAAACTCAATATTAATACAGAAGTTATTGATGTAAGTGCTATCCTCTCTGTTATTGGGAACACTGGAGCTCTAAAGTCTGTGGTAAGTAAAGCAGAAAAGAGAAAATCTGTGGATGAAGAAATTGAGGGCTACTCTCCCAAGCCGCTGAGGGTTCGTAAGGAGTCTGGAAATGACTCGACAGGAGATTCTAGTGACAAGGAATCCAAGGTAAGGGGCTGGTATAAGGATTTCAAGAAATTAGATGAAGAAAAGATTATAGTGGAAGAATATATTCCAACAGTTGTTGCTAAAACTGGAGGAAGAGAACATACAGGAAGAGATTATAACAACAGTCGCACTTTTAGTGAAAATAATGTGATAGACGTAATGAAAAGCTTAGATGAAGAGTTTAATCAACAACGAGGCAAGGGCAATCACCAGGGTTACAATAACCGAGGTGGAGGATACAGAGGAAGTGGATACAGTCCTCAGCAGGGTAGTGGGGGATATTATGGCAGCCATCAAAACTTTAGGGGTAGGGGTCGTGGAGGTCCCAATTTTCACTCACCGCAGGGTCGGGGCAGAGGAGGATTTGGACCTCATCAGGGTGGCCGTTATGGTGACTTTCAACATGGAACACCTCCATATAATCCATCAGGAAGAGGTTTCCGTGGGCACGAATCATATGGTGGAGGACGAGGGGGCAGGAGAGGTGGCAGGGGGGGAAGAGGTTGGTGGTAAACATTGATAAAATGTTTTATCTTATTAAATAGTAATTCAGATTTTTATGGAAAAATTTTTTGCCTACTGTTTTCAGTATCAATAGTATGACCCAAATGATGAGGTTGTAAACATATGTAAAATTGTGCTAATGTTAGATGGTACAAATATTCCTACTAATGTGAAGTCAATGTTCCATTAAGGAAAATCTTCGCCACCTTCTTAATGCTTCCATGTTTTTATGAAGGGTGGAGATAATATGTTATGCAGCATATTTCATGAAAGGTAATCTATTTTTTGATAAAGAGCAAGTATGAAGATCTGTATTTGGGTTTATCAAGGATCATAGTACAGTACGTTGTGTCTGTACTTAATATGTCGGCTATTTTTGTTTTCCAGAACACAAGTGTTTATGGTGACCTGAGGTGGAAGTCATGTGTTCTCTATAATGATACTGGATTGAAGCTGCAAAAGAAGCTTAATTTTGTGCAGAACTTGACAGCTTATTGAAGAAAATGTCATCACTAATGGAATTTGTTTTATATAACTACATTTCATTTTATGCAAGCTTTATTTAGATTTTCTCTGCATGTCTGAACATGTTGGTACACTTTTACATAGAATAACATGTACCAGACTATTACCAGTTTTCAGTGATATGTCATTAGCTTAAATTGTTTTGGTTTGGTCATTGCCAGAGCTGTGTTAATAATCTCAAAATTTAATATATGCTATTATACACTTGCTACCACATCTACCCCTTAGCTATAAGTGCAAATTAGTAACTGCAACTAGTTCATTGTAGTTTACTTTGGAAATGATTATTGATGATCTATCTGCAGTCTGACAAGATGAAAGTTAGTTGCTCAGACAAAGCAGAATGCAGCACTTCTGTTAAGCTAAGTGATTGAAAAAAGATCAGTGTATTCTTATTGTTTGAAGTTCTCCGTGACTTGAAAAAAGATCAGTGTATTCTTATTGTTTGAAGTTCTCCGTGACTTAATTGTTAACCAAAATGAATTATGAATTCAGACTAAATATCTATTTATTCAGTGTGCTTGAACAGAGTATCTACTGTTTGCAATTTTTTGTACCGAGTTTCTGTCATTCAGATTCTTAATAGGATATTACAAATGTGTCTGTAGCTAAGGGGGGATTAAAACATTATTTTATCTTGATCATAAGCCAGAGCATTAAGTTTGAAGTTGATAGAAAGGTAGTTATTTGATATTGTATATTTACATTTTGTAATAATAAGATGTTGATGTAATTGCACTCAAGTTTTCATTAGACAATAGCTCATAAGAAAGAGCCTGTGTAGTTGAAGACTGCTCTAGTGGCATATGGTGTAAAGACACCTCATGATACCATTAATGTAAAGATGTATACAAGAATGAAATTCTGTATTATATGAAAATTCTGATGTAATCAACTCTGGCATTTTATTTTTTAATTCATGTTGCATTATTTACACACAAATGCCTCACATGCACAATGTACATAATAAGTAAATACAGTACTGTGGTGAAATAGAAGAATTAAACAAAATGTGAAAACAAAGGCTTAAGTTGAGCAATACCCCCGAAGTAGTAATATCAGTGTTGAAGACAAAGTGTTGCTTGTTGACATTACTGGGCCTGCTGGCTAATAAAGCTGTTGGGTGGTAACACTGTCTCGTCCCTTGTGTCAAATGTTCACCTCTTGATTTAAATGCTTAGTCATTTAGGGAATGTGACGAATTTTTTTTTTTTTTTTTTTTCTTTGCTATGCTGTAATTATGTACAGTATATACTTGCATTATGTATATGTGCAAAACTTATGATAGGATGTATACTCATTTATTATCCATATTAGAGCTGCAGTGTGGTTGATGGTTATGAGTTCAACATTAGATTATTAGAATTCAGAGTGGATCTTATTAATTTTCAATAATGTCATAAAGTGGTGTCTCATTTCTGTTACCTGAAAGTTAGTATATATAATTCCTGGGAAAGCTGGTCCATTCAGGCAAATTAATATTACACATTGCTCAAGGCATGAGTGAGGCAGTGAGAAAAAAGCATGTGAAGAATAAGTATCAGGTGTGTGACATGATGAGTGGTATGTAGGCAGTTGTAAGTGTTACTATTGTCATAGTTGATAGCATAATATGGACTAAACAAAATATAAATTGTAAAAAGATAATCATTAAATTGGTGAGAGTATGCTGGCCATTGAGCTTGTGGTTGGGTGTCAAAATCTGCTTGAAGAGTCCTTCAAACTTTATCATTTTTTTTTTTTTTTTTTTTTACTTTGGGTATACTTTTGTTAGTCATGGTAATATTGACATACATATATGGTTACTATGAAAGCATATAGTTAGTTAACTTTAAAGTCTTTATGGGTATAAAGACGAGCGAGACATGTTCCGTGCGATATTGGAATCTATGCGATATAGAAATATTCCAGAACTGCGGCAAGTGTTTAAGGAGTCATTATAATTATAATTATTTATATTCTTCCTTTCTTATACAGTTTTGCACATTTAATGAATGGTTAATGACTTGGGCTTTTTTGTTGCAAGTATGACAATGACAGTTATGCAGTTTTTAAATTATCTTTTTCTGGACTGCTCCCCACAGTAGCTTCCTGTAGTATAAGGCATAGGTACTAGAGAGACTCAGAAAAAAGTGGCAGGACCCTGGACTAGCATATGCCTACCAGAAACCAGAACTTTTAGTGAGGTGGGGAGCATGTTAGGAATCGATTGAACTACAACTGAGGAGACTCGCTCAGAAAGTAACATGTGAAACAAAACAAACCGCTGCTTTTTGCAAATAGTATAAAATAAGAAATAAAGTCCAACATGATATATGTCTAGCAATGTATAGTAGCATGTAAAACGAGCCCTGCACCAACTCGCTCAACCACCAGCAGGTGTCTCGGCCAGCTACCCAGCTCGTGAGAGTGGTACTACCATAAGAAGCCAAGACCATGATGGGACCAAACAATATGTGTATACAAATAAGTAGTGTTGACATTCCATCAAACCTTGAGTAATGCTCATGGCTTTTCTTTATTTTGATTATTTCTATTGATTCATGATTGTGTATAAAAGCCACCCACGTTGATTGTTCTCTAGCTTGTTATTTAGCTGTCTGCTTTTGTTCAGGGTTAACTTCCTTGATACCAACTTGCATTTTACTTGTTCTCCTCGTTGCCTTGCTGCTTTGGGTTCCTTCTGTATGGGCCAGTTACCTTTGAACATGGACATGAATTATCATGGGGAAAGCGTCAAGCCATTACGACTATAAAGCACTTGGAAGGGGTCTGGATAAGGATTTGGGATGGGACGGGGGGAAAGGAATGGTGCCCAACCACTTAGACGGACGGTCGGGAGCGAGACCGTCGCTCTACCATCCAGCCCAAGTGGTTGGGCTAGACGGTAGAGCGACAGTCCTGCCTTTAAGCCAACACCATTTTCAGGTAGTGCTTGGGACTTTGTTATCAAGTAAGGCCTGTTGATGAAGAGTAGAAATTAGCTATGTGCTACACCTGATCCTGACATGTTGGAAGCCTTACGTTACTGCCTGGATCATGCTTGGGTTGAGTTAAATAAATTTTTCTTTTCTGTTACTCCTCACACCTTTCACCATCATCTTGATGGGGTTAGGTGCTTGGTTCGACAGCAATGCCCTCTTGTTCCTGACACATCTCTTGCTGTATAGTTTGATCAGAACACCCAGTTCCTGTGCGGCCAGGAGGATTGTTTACCTTATTTAGGTTGGCTAGTGGTGGATCCTCCACTCACTTTTAAGCCAGACTTTGCTACTTGGAGATTTTTTTAATAAATTTTAATGTTTTTGGACACACAATCTGGAGATGTTCGAGGTACATCTTACTGGTTCAAGGTACTCCAATCTACGTATCTGGAGTTTCTGATGAGGTGACTGACCTCTCGGTTTCCCACCTGCATCTTTCATCCAGGCAGCAGTATGAGGTCTCCTTTTATTCTTTCTGCCTTTTTTTGCTAAATAGGCTTCATCTTTATCTCTTCATTGTTTTTCATCTTTTGGTTCTGGTAGACCTATCCTTTGTTGCTCACCATCTTCTGCCGAATACTGTCATATCTCGTCATTTGACCTTGGTAGAGCCGTTTTTGTTGGTTTTATTGTTGATACTTCCTTGGTGCCATTTTGTGAGTTTTCATGCATTTCTTACATCCAGCCTGCTCTTTCTCCTGAGCCATCTCACTTCTGTATTGGTGTTCTTTCATCTCCTCGGTTCTCAATTGCTCTTTTGTTCCATGATACCTTTTTCAAGGCTTTCAGTTGTATGGTTGGGAATCTTTATGTTCTTCTCGGAAGCGGGAGTTTGCAACTAAGAAGCCACTGTTCATCCCTCCAGAAAATCAACACTGAATGTAATGAAGCATCTTTTTCTAGAGTAGGGAGGACCTTGGTGACTCCCTGGACCCTTCCTCTCTACCAGGTGCATACATTGCTCTTTTCCTAGGCTTTGGACTGGTCATTGTTGACATTGGGCAGCTCTTGTGGTGCTGCTGCCACCTGGTGGCAGCCAGCAGCAACTAGAAGGGGTGAATGCATGGATAACTACCTAATTACTTGGTGAATCATTTGCAGTTACTTGGTGCTTTATTTAGTTTCTGTTAACTTTACAGTTGTCTGTGTTTGCTTCGCTTCTTTTATAATGGGTATTTCTCTAGTGACTGATCTAGAATCCCTTGCTTCCTGTGCCTCAGTGAAGAGGGGGGCCAGGTTTTAACCTCTGGTTTCCAGTAGGCTATTAAAGACTCATAGGGCTGATATGTGCGTGTTTAGCTATCTCGGTGAGGTTGATAACAGGGAGGCACTTAGGTACCCCTTTTTCCCCCCAAGAAAGTGGTGTTTCATTACATTCAACACTGGTTTTTGTCTTACCCTCATTTTTTGTATCTTGAATGCTTGTTCAGTGCAGCATTTTTGTAGGCTATGGCTTATGGCAGTCACACTAAGTGAGCTTCACATCCCTTCACTGGGTGTATGTTGTTTTGTTCCTTTGATTTTTCATTATCTTCGTGATTATTCTCTTCATTTTTGGTCTAATGCATTTCCAGGGAAAGGAGGAGAGGTCCAACTTTTGGAGGGGTCTTATGCACATTGATGCTTATCTTTTTCAGCTGGGGATGCATCATACACTCTGTGCTGTATCACTGTGCAGTTATACTTACACACTACTCATGTTTCTCAGGTGGACGTTCATTATATTAACCCTTCATCTTTGATTCCTTTCAAGGCTCTGCTCTCCCAGGTCATCTGCAGGATTGTTTGTTTCAGTCAACTGATATTTATCCATGCATTCATGATGAGTGGAAGTATGCTGCTTTGGCAGCTTTCTTTGCTACTGTGTTCATGTCCAATATCCAGGCTTGGATTTTCTGAGCGGTCATGAGGATGTTGGCCACTTATTACCTGTTAGATATTCCTTGTCCACTCTACTTGGCCTCATTTCCTTGAGCCCTAGTCCTTACCATCTTTGTTTTTCTAATTAATTGTTTTCTTTTCCAGGGGTTGTCTAGAAAACATTGTTCTATAATGCATTGAAACTATAATTTCTGGACAGCCCACCGTGGCTCTCAGTTTTGGCCCTGTTGTCCCTTTTCTGTAGGATTTAGGGGGATTCCAGAGAGCTGAAGAGGAAGTTGCATAGCTCGCCAGTAAAGGAGTCGGTCGGCCGAGCGGACAGCACGCTGGACTTGTGATCCTGTGGTCCTGGATCACAATCCCAGGCAACGGCGAGAAACAATGGGCAGAGTTTCTTTCACCCTATGCCCCTGTTACCTAGCAGTAAAATAGGTACCTGGGTGTTAGTGAGCTGTCACGGGCTGCTTCCTGGGGGTGGAGGCCTGGTCGAGGACTGGGCCGCGGGGACACTAAAGCCCCGAAATTATCTCAAGATAACCTCAAGATAAGATAACCCCAGGTGGCCTAGGCTGCCATTTGGTGGCATCAGGTGTATTGGTACCCGGGGGTTGTTTCTTGTTGATATGCCTTGTTTGTTTTACTTGTATAAAGAGCAGTGCTTTGCCTGTAACTTTCTGAGTAGGTCTTATGGGTCATACTCTGTTTTATATCTCTAACGTGCAGACTCCAGTATGGTTTAGAGCAACTATACAGTGATGCATTAGCTTGATAATTTTCTCTGAGTGCATGTTAATTGCTATAAGTGTACACAAGTCAAAGTTACAAGTTATGTGGCAATAGTTTAATTTTGTTTTTGAGTTTGTCTGTGTACAAGTACAGTATTGTACTGTGTACTAGTACAGTATAAAAGTAAAGTACTGTGTGTCAGTGTACAAGTACTGTGTCAGTGTATAAGTATTACTTGTCAGTGTATATGTACTACTTGTCAATATACAAGTACAGTATTGCTAGTCACTTTACAAGTTGTACTTGACAATATTGTATACAAGTATTGCATATTGGTATATCAATACCAAGTGTGAGTGTACAAGTACTGTATGTCAGTATAAAAGTAGTACATGTGTGTATAAACAGTGGAGCAGCAAAATGGATAAAAAGAACTGAACAAAGCCTTTGATAAAGGAGTTACATTTTGTGGCACCTGTTATGTTTTACAAATATTTCATGTCAATATACATTGTGTGTCAGCATACAAGTTGGCACTGTATAACAGTATACAAGTGCAGTGACGCATACTACTGTACGTAGTTTGTTACGTTAATGCAGTGTTTTTCAACCAGGGTCCCAAGATATTAGGGGTTACACGAGAAATAGTGATAAATAGGATAATTCTAATCAGGTGCAAATGTATTTTTTAATAATTTTTGTCTTTAATTTTTCTTATTTGACTAGTGTGAAGAGTAAAAACAGAAACTGCATTCTTTCACTCGACTATGAAATCTGTGTATTTATCTAACGTATGGCCTGTAATTATTTCAA